TGGAGATTCACAAGTCCTTCACATAAAATGGTGTATTTTTATATAACTTAAATGCATTCTTCCTTGTACTTCAATCATGCAAAGTTGATGTGTAGTATGTAATATAATGTAAGTGAATCACTGGCAGGCTGCACTCTTAGGGGAACAGTGACAAGAACAGTGTTTGCACGTTCAGTACAGTTTTTCTTTTTTCAGATATTTTCCATCTGTCAGTAGGTTGAATTCAAGGACTTTACAAGGGGTTTCCTGTGCCTAACTTAGCAAGCACTTAACCCTTCCTATTGTCCATGAACTTTGCTGTATTCATCATAAGGCTGGCACTTAAGTGCCTTATTTTCTCTGAAGGAAAAGCATTCAATTCAGTGCCTCCTGCTGTTGTCTTTGTTTTACGCTGGAAGTTTGTAATCTTTGATTCCATGGAACATACTGGCATACCATACCATTCTGTCCTCCTTTACCTTGAGTCCTTTTAGAGAAGTATACATTTTCCTCTCCAGCCCATGTAGTTGGTCTGCTACAGAAGTAGTGCTTATAACTGGCTAATAGCATACATATCTTCGTTTTCTTTAAAGAACAAAAGGGTTCTATACATCCATATGAATTAATATGATAAATTCTAATTTAACAACATTAGAGAGGTGTGCTAGTTACATTCATCCTTTGTAAATGCCATTGAAGTGTCACCCCACACATTTATGTCCTTTATAAATTTAAAAGTTTTTGATTCTGGCCACCCAAACTACTAGATGAGTTTGATTTCATAAAGTATCTCTTTTTGGACCCGTTTTAAAATGTGAAATATTGCACATGTAAAATTGCATGCAACAAAATTGTAGAGCCTAGATTTTTCACAAAGTGAATACTCAAGTAATTGTCTCCTAGCCAAGAACTAGAACGTGGTTAGCTTCTTATAAGCCACTTCTCAGTCAGTGACCTTGTCCAGCCAACTCCTGATACCATTAGCTGCCTTACACTTACCAGACCTGTTTCCTATGTATCTTCTTTAAACAGTACAAACTAGTTCTGCCTCTTTGAGAATTCTATATAGATTTGTATAACTCCTTTCATTTGATGTTACATTTTTGAGAATACTGTACAGTATCTCACTGCCAGAGACTTTTCAAAGTATAATAGTGGTTATCACAATTCAGGTAATTGTACACTTGTGTAAATATTTAGAAACTTTCTTTTAAATCTTAGTAACTTTGATATTCAGAGCAGTTTTAATTTACATTTTCTTGATAATTGATTCGATGAACACCTCTTTATTTTGGAAATTGACTTTTGTGTAGTGCTACTTTAAGTATCATTATGCATTGAAAGGATGAAACAAAAACCAGGAAATACTTGGACTTAGTTGTAAGCTATCAAAAGTTTTCTTTGGAAAAGAGGTCTTCCTCTGGACCCAGGCCTCTGACGTATTCTCACCTCCAGCATGGAATTTCCTGGAGAAATTCTAATTCTTTAGGGCTCCCATTTACAATGTCTTCCCTGTTATATATTAAAGGATTCCTCATATAAACTAATTCCAATTAGTATGAGATACTTTAATACCCATGAAATAATAGCAAAAGAAAAATCTCAGCTATAGGCCTCAGAAGCTGCCTGATGACACTTAGCCTTTTGATTGGTGGTCTGCTAAGTTAATACATTCCAAAAGGTTTTTATCTGTTAGTCACAGGATGTTAACTCAGAAACAAAGGTGTGCAAGGAGTAGGTATTTAGGAGATTAAAGGTGACCCGTGATAAATGGTAATTAGGCTCTGGACTCTCCGCAATCACTGAAATTCTAAACAGGTGAGCAGCCCTTACAGAGTGTTTAGTTTTAAGGTTTTTAAGATTCAGGATTTTCTGGGAGCTCATTCACACTTTGTTTCTTTTCTTAACTTTTCTCAGGCTTATTGGAGAAAGTATTCCATCAGAAAACGATTTCTGGAATTGAAACACTATTCAGTCATCCTTCAGTCTAGGATGAGAATGATACTTGCTGTCACAGCTTACAAACGGTATCTTTGGGCTATAGTTGCAATTCAGAGGCGTTGGCGTGCTTGTTTAAGAAGAAAACAAGATCAACAAAGATATCAAATGCTGAAAAGTTCATCCCTTATCATCCAGGCTGCATTCAGAAGGTGGAAGCGACGGAAACTGCAACCACAGACTAGCGCTGCCATAACATTGCAGAGAGCTTTCAGAAGGTGGCATTTCAGGAAACAAACTCGAGAAAGATCTGCTACTGTCATACAGTCTTGGTATAGGATGCATAGGGAACTGCAGAAATATATCTATATGAAATCTTGTGTTGTCATCATCCAGAGAAGATTTCGATGCGTTCTAGCTCAAAAGTTATATAAGAAAAGGAAAGAGTCCACCCTAACCATCCAGAAGCACTACAGAGCTTATCGGAAAGGAAAGCTGGAGCGCTCCAGCTATTTGCAGAAGCGAGCTGCAGCCATCCAACTACAAGCTGCTTTCAGGGAGATGAAGGCTCGACGTCTGCACAGACAAATCAGGGCTGCTTGTGTTTTGCAGTCATATTGGAGAACGAGGCAGGAAAGATTTCAGTTTTTAAACCTTAAAAAGAATGTTATCAAACTGCAGGCACACATAAGAAAACACCAGCAATTACAGAAATATAAAAAGTTACAGAAAGCAGCCGTTATAATTCAGACTCGTTTCCGAGCTTCCATTTCAGCCAGGAAAGTTCTAGCATCCTATCAGAAAACTCGGTCTGCTGCCATTGTTCTACAGTCTGCATGTAGAGGGATACAAGCCAGGAAAATGTTCCGTCATACTCTGACATCTGTTATAAAGATTCAGTCATATTATCGTGCTTACATATCCAGGAAGAAATTTCACAGCTTCAGAATGGCTACGATAAAGCTGCAATCAGTTGTCAAAATGAAACAAACACGTAAACAATATTTGCATTTAAGATCAGCTGCCCTAGTTATCCAGCAGTGGTACCGTTCCCAAAAACTGACTGCATGTAAGAGAAAAGAATTTCTGCAAGCACGTGAATCCTGTATCAAATTGCAAGCATTTGTGAGAGGTTGCCTGGTCCGAAAGCAGATGAGGTTACAAAGAAAAAGAAAAGCTGCTGTTTCATTGCAGTCTTATTTTAGAATGAGAAAGGTGAGGCAGCAATACCTGAAAATACACAGAGCAGTTGTTGTCATTCAGAAATTCTACCATGCCTACAGAGCACAAGTCACCCAAAGGAAGAACTTCCTGCAGGTCAGGAGAGCAGCTGTGTGTTTGCAGGCAGCTTACAGGGGTTACAGAGTACGCCAGCTAGTCAAACAGCAGTCCATAGCTGCTCTTAAAATTCAAACTGCCTTTAGAGGCTACAGTAAAAGGCTGAGATATCAAAGTGTCCTTCAGTCTGCCGTGAAGATTCAGAGGTGGTACAGGGTACACAAGACTGTTCATGGCATAAGAATGCACTTTTTAAAGACAAGAGTGGCTGTGATTTCTCTCCAGTCTGCCTGTCGTGGCTGGAGAGTCCGGAAGCAGCTCAGAAGGGAACATCAGGCTGCAGTGGAGATTCAGTCTACTTTTAGAATGGCCAGGGCCCGGAAACAGTTCAAATTACTAAAAGCAGCGGCAGTGGTGATCCAGCAGCATCTCAGAGCCTGGACTTCAGGGAAGAAGCAACGCCTAGAGTACATTGAACTGCGCCGTGCAGTGCTGCTGTGCCAGGCTGCATGGAAAGGAAAAACGTTGAGGAGACAGATTCAAAGGCAGCACAAATGTGCTATCATCATACAGTCATATTATCGAATGCATGTTCAACAAAGGAAATGGAAAGTCATGAGAAAAGCTGCTCTTGAGATTCAGATATATTATAGGGCTTACAGTGTTGGGAAAGAACAGCATCATTTATATTTGAAAACAAAAGCAGCTGTAGTCATTTTGCAGTCAGCTTACCGTGGTATGAAAGTGAGAAAAAGGGTAAAAGCGTTCAACAAAGCAGCAGTCACTATACAGTCTAAATTTAGAGCTTATACAGCCCAAAAGAAATACGCAGACTATAGAGCCTCAGCCATTGTAATCCAGAGATGGTATCGAAATATTAAAGTTACAACCCAGCAACATAAGGAATACCTTAATTTAAAGAAGACAGTTGTTAGAATGCAAGCTGTTTACAGAGGTGTTAGGGTAAGGAGACGTATTCAACAGATGCACATGGCAGCCACTTTGATTAAAGCCATGTTTAAAATGCATCAGTCAAAAGTAAGATACCACACGGTGAGAAGAGCAGCTGTCATCATTCAAGTGAGATACAGAGCGTACTATCAAGGTAAAATTCAGCGTGAAAAGTACCTGAGAGCTTTGAAGGCTATTCAAACTCTGCAGGCAGGTTTTAGAGGTGCAAGGGTTAGAAAGGCTGTAAGAAGGATGCATGCTGCAGCGACACTCATTCAGTCACACTTTAGAAGGTACAGGCAGAAAATATATTTTAATAAGTTAAGGAAGGTAACAAAATTGATGCAACAAAGATACCGAGCAGTGAAAGAAAGAAATGTACAGTTTCAGAGGTACAACAGACTGAAGCATTCTGCCATACACATTCAGGCTGCTTTTAGGGGGCTGACAACTAGGAGACATTTGAAAGTTATGCATTTAGCTGCCACCCTTATTCAGAGGAGATACAGAATGATAATGATGAGAAGAAAATTCCTGTCTCTCAAGAAAGCTGTTATTTGGATTCAGAGAAAATTTCGTGCAAAGCATCACCTACGACAATTGCTGCTGCTAAAGGCAGCTTTGAAAATCCAGTCGTCATACAGAGGGTGGGTGGTAAGGAAAAAGGTACAAGAAATGCACAGAGCTGCTACTGTGATTCAGGCTGCCTTCAGGATGCACAGAGCACATGTGAGGTTCCAGGTTTTGAAACGAGCCTCGGTTGTGATCCAGAAGCAATACCAAGCACACAGAGCAGCAAAACTGCAGAGACAACTTTTCATCAGACAAAGACAGGCTGCTATGATCCTTCAGGCTGCCTTTAGGGGTATGAAAACTAGGAATCATTTGAAGACTATGCATTCTTCTGCAACCCTTATTCAGAGTAGATTTAGATCTTTAGTGATACGGAGGAGATTTCTTTCTCTGAAAAGAGCTGCTGTATTTGTTCAGAGGAAATACCGAGCCACTGTATACGCCAGGCACAAAGTGCACCAATTCTTACAGTTACAGAAGGCAGCCATTATAATACAGTCATCTTATCGAAGACTGATAGTAAAAAAGCAGTTACAGAAAATGCACAGGGCTGCAGTTCTCATTCAGGCAACTTTTAGAATGCACAGAGCATATGTTAGATTTCACACTTGGAAAAGCGCCTCCATTCTAATTCAGCACTATTATCGAGCATACAGAACTGAAAAATTGCAAAGAGAAAAATTTGCCAGGCAGTGGAATTCTGCTGTGATCATTCAGGCTGCCTATAAAGGAATGAAAGCAAGACAGCTTTTGAAAGAAAAGCAGAGAGCTGCTGTCATAATACAAAGGACATATAGAATGTATAGGCAGTGTTGTTTCTACCAGAAGCTTCAGTGGGCAGCAGAAACAGCACAAGAAAAATGCAGATCACATAGAGAGAGACAGAAAACTCTTCAACACAATGTGTGTACGGAAGAAACAACTTTTATTCAGGCAAGTTTTCAGAACTCGAACAGCAAGAAAGAAATTCAGAAACATGAGGCTGCCTTTATTCAGAAGCATTTTAAAGCATTTAAAGTGAGGAGGCATTCTGGCCACCTAGACACAGTGACTTCTGGTCAAACAGATTGCAGAACATTACCTACAGCACTTACCAAAACACTTTCTTCTGTGGAATTGCCTAGAGGATGTCAGGTAAGCGGTGTATCACGCATGTCTGCCTGCCATGCTAGTTGAGTCACTCACATGCTGAACCCATTTATTAAACTAAGAAAGATATTGTTGTTGTTGTCGTGGTAGTACAGCATTGTTATAGGTCAATGGTCAGTTTCTTTTCAAAAGAAATAAAGAATTAGCAATTTAAAGCAAGGTATAGTAGCACAGGCCTGTAATTCTAGCACTCTAGCACTCTAGCACAAGAGGCAAGTTGCTCTCTTGAGTTAGAGGCCAGCCTTGTCTAAATAAGGAGTTCTAGGCCAGCCAGGGCTACATAGTGAGACCCTGTCTTTAAAAAAAAAAAAAAAATCAACAAGAAAGAAATTGCAGGAACTATTGAACTCGCCTTAACACTTGTCAAAGACAGGCGCTGAGAAGACAGTAGCAGTTGTTAACTCAGATTTTTTTACTTAGACTCCGCCTGAAGCAGCTCAGGGTGGCATAACAGTACTTTATTTGCATGTTGTTCACAGGAAACAGAGTATCATTCTCAAAATAGGGCTGCAGTGCTAACTCAGAAAGATTTGAGTAAAAGGGTCTCAAGAAAACTGGAAGCACAGAAATGCGCTGCCCTTCAAATTCAGTCCTTCCTTCGGATGGCTGTGCATCGAAGAAGGTTTGTTGAGCAGAAGAGAGCCGTGGTCACACTGCAGCAGTCCTTCAGAACCTGGAGAGCCAGAAAACAGTTTGTACTGTACAGAAAAGCAGCCGTGGTGGTACAGAGTCACTACAGAGCTTTTCTGTCTGCTAAATATCAAAGAGAACTTTATTTACAAATTAGGAGGAATGTTGTTATTATTCAAGCGCGAATAAAAGGATTTATACAGAAACGGAAATTTCAGAAAATTAGAAATAGTGCCATAAAAATTCAGGTATGTATTTAACTAGAAACAGTCTTTATGTTGAACAGTATTTCTTACAATTAATAAAATGTCGTAAGCAGGCCACAGGTGCCCACTTTAGTATCTGTCAGAAAAAATGAAACTTTGTTGACAGTGATTGAAGACAGCAATAATTAATTCAACAAAGACCAGGAACTGGAATTGATCCAACTGTGATCACCTGATTCAATAGGTATGAGTTATGAAACTTCTGAAAGAATTATGATATGGGAGCTCTATTTGGCATTTTTAAAACATTAACCTATTTGGCATAATTTAGGTCAAATAGGATTATTTTATTCCTCTACTAATTTGTTAGCCAGAGATATTTAGGCTAACTTAATAACCTTTATTCAGTGTGTAATCCTTTTGTCTTCTAACACATCTAATGTTGTTTAATCAATCCTCTAATGTACTATTTCTCTTTTAACATATGAGAGAACCAAGTAAGGTTAAGCATGTCATTTTGCATAGGAAGCAACAGATCCAGAAATTAAACTTGAATACTTCAGCATTTTCTGTTCTGCCTGGAAGAAACTGGGCTTTGAATCTACACGATACGTTGATATCTTGCCAAGTTGCTGTTAAGCTTAGAAATAATATTTTCATTCAACAAATGTCTAGTGCTAATGATCTGCCAAATACTACGCTGGATGCTAGAAATATAGAGTGACTAGTTGTACTTAATTGCTATCCTCAAAGAACTTTGAGCAAGGAAATTTCTATAAAATGAGAGGTGTATAGTGCTACAAATAGAGAAGAGGATGGTGAGCAGCATTTTAATGGAAACGTTAGTCTAAATGTAAGCCAAGCGTATGGGAGAAATATTCCAGTCACAGAAGAGAACATGGAAAATGGAAATAAAACAGAGCAATAAGAAGCAACACGGGGCCTGGAGAAATGACCTGCTCAGGAGCACTAATGTTCTTCCTCTTGGTGGCTCACAACCGCCTATTACTCCAGCCCCAGGGAATCCAACACTGTTTTCTTACCTCTACCAGCACCTGCACACACACATACACACAAATAAAGATAAGATAAAGCTTTATAAATACAATATAGGAACAGGCTTCTATAGAGGAAGTAAAATTGCAGGTGACTTTACAGGACATGGAAAAAAAATAATCTCTATCTTCCAAGCTAATAGAAGTTAAAGAGAAGTTTAAGCAGCACAATGTTAAATTCATACTTTTATTTTAAAAGTCTACCGTGTCCAAATGTCAAAGTTGAACCAGAAAGGGAACAAGACTAGAAGTGAGGAGACCAGTCAGCAAGCTGTTGTTAGAGGATCTGGCCAAGATCAGTTATCAGCAGTTAGTCGAAGTACAGTTCTGTGGGTTAGTTTGACTGGAAGGGTAGAATTAACATTGCATAGAGAATGGAGAATGCGTCTGGCTTGAGAAACTCTGCAGACACACCACTCATTGCCACAAGGAGAGGAAGAGAAGGTGCTTAGCCTGGTGATGTTTGGTGTGGAGGGTGCGGCTGAAGCATACAGCAGATGTCTGCAGGTCAGAAGAGCTGTGTGAAGTTTTTAGTTGGATTTGTGTGTTTTTGCCATATACTGATAATTGAGCCTATGGAGGGATTGGAATAATATAAGAAGAGTGTGTGGGAAGAAGAGTCCCCAAGACTTAGACCTGGAGAAGATACAAATTTAAGGATATTAACCAAACCCAACATAAGCTATTAAGAGGGAGAGAAGAAAACTAAGATACCGGTGCAGTATCAAGTCAAAGGTTAAGGGAGAGCAGGAGTGCTCCAGTTCCAGAGCTACCAAGAAAATCAAGATTAATGAATGTTCCTTGGATGTATTAGGATTACATCAACTGCCTGACAAGAAAAACCAAACTGATCTTATGAAAAGTCATCTGTCATTCCACTTATGAAATTAAATTACTGAATTTTCTTTTTGCTGTGTGTCGCTGTGTGTATATTTGTGTTTGTTTGTTGTTAGAGGTTAAACTCAGCCTCTTGTACATGCTAGTAAAGTGCTCTACCACTGAGCATCACCGTCACAATAGAAATTTAAACTAATAATAGAGATCGTAGTAACTGTTTCACAAGATACTTGTAAATATTAACTAAGATATTTCTTTTACTGTTTGGATTGTGTGGCATTGACAAGTTATTTAGTTTCTCTGAGCCGTGATTTCTGTATTTTGTTACAATGAAGATTTATCACTTTGATGTTTAGATGAATGAGTTCTAGCATCACTTCAGCTTTCAGTGGGCTACCGGGTTGGTAAGATCAGAAAATCTGGCAGTCTTTTCAGAATCCTGCTGCAAGCTGCCCACAGAATCTACAGAATAGCAGTCACTGAAATTAAGGTTAAATAAAAGTCTGAAAGTTTATTAAAATCTGAGGTGAGATGTAGGTTAATAACACTGCTGGCAGTCATTTTTAAATTACCATTATATCTGTTTATGAAGGCATTATGGAGAGGCTATTCTTGGAGGAAGAAAAATGACTGTACAAAAATGAAAACCATACGACAAAGCCTTGGAGCCATTAATAAGAATGTTGAAGAGGAAAACAAGCTCTACAAAAGAACCACACGTGCGCTCCATCACCTTCTGACCTACAAGCACTTGTCTGCCATTCTGGATGCTTTGAAACACTTGGGTTAGTTCGTGGTGTTTAAGATTAGGATGCATCTTTACTCTTAAATGCTTGAAGAATCTTGAATACGGTGTTACCTATCATTTTGTTGCTATGAATTTGTTTCTCTTTCAGAGGTGGTTACTAGATTGTCTCCACTTTGTTGTGAGAACATGGCCAAGAGCGGGGCAATTTCTGAAATATTTGTTGTGATCCGAAGTTGTAATCGTAGTGTGCCTTGTATGGAAGTCATCAACTATGCTGTTCAAGTCCTCCTGAATGTAGCAAAGGTAGCTTTCTAGTTTTCTAAGAGTATTTATCTGTTTAGAAATAGACTTTATGCTCAGGATTGCAACCTCTTGGGCATCGGCTGTGACCATTGGTTCTTAGAGCTTTCTGACACAATACTTTTATAAAGAAAATGTTTTCAAAGTCCTAATTCATTATTCTGAAATTAAATTGCTAAACAAGCACATTTACATAACTTCAAAATAATCAGTTTTATGCTTGTCACTATATAGAAGAAAACAAAGCTTTGAAATTATGTATGCTTCAGTATGTAACTACTTGAACTTGACAGTATGTGAACATAGACTAAGGGACTCAGATGTTTGCGACAATATGTAAAGTAACTAAGTGTTATACATGCCAAGTGTATATGGAAATAAATTGATCAAATCATGCACTCAAAAAATAAAAAGACTAAGAAGGAAAAATAAATATGTAGAAAAGAGAGAAAAGAAATAGACTGGCAAATTAAATTTATGCTTGCTGGTCACTAAAACCGAGGCTTCTAGATCAAAATTCAGTGATGTTCAAAGCCTTCTAAGAGTGCAGATATTTAATCTATTAACATATCCATAGATAGAAATGCTAATTTTTATGATTTGATTTCTTTTGCCGTTACAACAGTACTGAAAATGAATACCATTGATTGTCCGCATACTAGTGTTTCATAGATTATTTAATTTGATCCTTACAGTAATCCTTTAAAGTAGTTCATGTTACATTTAATGGAGAAGAAATAGTAATAATACTTAAAAGTTACAATCCCTTGTTTTAGGATTCCTAAAACAAGAGATTCTAGACAGGCTGACTAGACTCAGTGGACAGACTTGTACTGGATTAACGGCTGGGGACACTGACAACCCAGTGGGCCTTAACAGGGATGAAGAGTATATGGGCTCCAGTGGGGGGGGGGGTATGGGTATGGGAGGGTGCCAGTAGGGACAGGGATATAAAGATGATTAAGATTGTTTGAGATGTTCTGTATGAAATACACACAAAAAAAAAATCATTAAAAAAATTAAAGAAAAAAAAGTTACAACCCCAAGGTATTAAGATGAAAGCTTCCCCTCCTTTGCCTATCTCGTATATACCATGTAGAGCACTAAACCTGATGTTTTCCTATTGAGAGCATAGACTCTGAAGCTAAAGTATCTGGATTTCAGTCCAAGACCTGCTTATTATTTCAGAGATTCTATTCTCTGCTTCACAGCCCTCACTGGGAAAGCCAGTGTAGTAACAGTGCCCATCTCAAGTGTTGCTACAAGGTGGAGTTGTTATGCCTTACATGTTTTCTCTAGAGACCATACAGGTGTAAGCAAGTGATGTTTTGTGGTTTTAATGTTGTTATGCAAATTTCAATATGAAGCTAATGCCATGATTAGATAGATGAGATTTTGAAAATATATCCTAGACTCTGTATTAAGATTATTGTTGTATTTTAAAGCAAACTCATCTTCTCAAGAAACAAGTCATAGCGTAACTCATTAGGTCTTGTCTTTGTTCGGCTCTGTGACTGTCACAGAAGTTACCTTCTGAGATTCTTGGTGCAGTGTTGTTTAAAGGCTTTGCTTTATTTTGTAGAACTGCACAAATGGGTGGGAAAGAAAAAGAAATGCATATGCATATAAGAGAGGCCCAAAACTTTGCCCGTAAACAGATTTCCTGGTTGGGCTGTTTAAAGGTATGGGTTACCTGTAACTTTTCGTTTCATTCTGGTCTCTTTAAGTATGAGAAAACAACATCAACAGTTTATAATGCTGAAAACTGCATAGACACACTGTTGGAGCTTCTGCAGATGTACCGAGAAAAGCCTGGAGACAAAGTTGCAGAGAAGAGTGGAAGCATTTTCACAAAAACTTGTTGTTTATTGGCTGTGCTGTTGAAGACAACACAGTGGGCTTCTGTAAGTATTGATCGGTTACCTTTTTCTGAGGTTATTTTTCTAGATTTTAAATGTCTTTGACTTTTATACTTTTAGTAATTATTACAGGAATATAAGCTTTATATATTTTCAAACCTTTATTCACTGGCTAAAAATGTATTCACACACACTTTTTTTGGAGATCATAAAGAACCTAATTTTAAGGCTGGAAAAATGACTCATTGGTAGAGAACATGCCTAGTGTTCACAAGGCCCTGCACCCTAGCCTTAAAAAAATAAAAGTCAAACTATGGAAATAGAATTTCTTACATCTATGTAAGCAACTCACTACAAAGAATAACATATTATCCTAGCAAGGTAGGAACCCGACGTGTGTGTGTGTGTCTTCTGTCCTGTTGCAGCCATGAATATATAAAGCTTTTCAATGTTGAGACTACCTACTTATCAATATCAACATAGGGTGACCATAGTCAACCTAGATTGTGGCTTTTTTCCCTTGAGGGTTTTTAATGTCACTGGGTTACTGATAGAGAATGAGTTTGGAAAAGCATGTGTAGATAAGGGAGACATTTTTTTACTGAGCTTTTAAAATTTCATACAATATTTCTCACATATCCAGACCCCCTCCCCCATCCATGCCTCCCCCCAATCCATCCTTCCATGCCTTCCCCCTACTGAACCCCGTGCACTCTGCCATTCGTCCTGAGTCCTATTTATTCAGGTGTTTGTACCCAAATGTCCGTCAGTGTAAATGCATCCACTGGAGTCTAGTCATCCCACCCAGTGGTCCTATGTAAGTCATATTCTCCCTCACCCAGCAGCAACTAGTCTCAAATAGTTCTCGATTTAGTGCTGACCCACCACCTATTTCTCACCTCCCCTTTGGGCCCTTTTTTAATTGAGCTGACATGGGTACCACATGTGGACCACTGCCACAGGCTCACATGAGCAGGCCTCCATTGGCCTGCAAGCCTCCACCTTAGATGTTCATGAACCAGCTCTGTCTCTTACAGTCTTTCTGCCTCCTCTTCTACAATGGTCCCTGAGCCGTAGGTGGGTGAGGTTCCTTATAGGAGTCCCATCCTACACTCTACAATCTCTTATTCTCTAAAACTTGGCCAGTTGAGGCCATCTATGTCTAATGCACTCTGATGTATATGGAAGCCTCACTGGTGAGAGTTGAGGGGTGCATTAGCCCTCTCTCTACCCCTTATTCTGCTGTGTTCCATGAGCCTTAATTTTAGAAATTTGACTGCAGATGTGTCACCTAGTACTGGGCATCTCCCAGGTATATGTTCTCTGTGCCTGACCAGATGTGCAACTCGGCTACCTCCATCTGTTGCAAAAAGAAGCTTCTTTGATGAGTGCTGTATGGCATATTTGTCACTCTTAGGGAGGTCTCTTCTGTCTCACACTGCATTCGGATAAGGGAGACTTTAGGAAGTCAGCATGTTTGGATGTTCAGTGGATGATGCTTCACCTGGGCTTCTGTCACTGACAGGGAGGTGGATGACTTTGGAAAAGCTCGTAAGACTTGATAACTGGATGTGATAGGCAGATTGATTAAAACATTTCTTTTTTTATTCAATATAATGTTATAACTTTTTGAGTGTTTTCTTTATAATTGACTTGCAAATTAGTTGATAATATAAATGAATCTGCCTGCTAAATGCGAATTTAGCATTGCTATTGATTGTTAGCAGCTCAAAAGTAGAGTGTTGATGATTTCGTGATTTTGCTGTTCTAAGAGAAGTCTAATTTTTGCCAAATTTACATTTTCTTTTTCTTTTTATCTTTTTTTTTCCTTAGGAAGTACGAAATAGACCCAAAGTCATTAACCACATTTGCAGTATCTACAAATTTACAGCTCAGAAACATAAAATGAATACTGAAAGAATTCCCATGAAGCGGAATTCTTGTACAGGCTTTTCCTATAGTCCAGAAAGACCTGTAAGGACCCGAATAGTTTCCAGGTAAGCAGTTGAATGAACTCCATAATTTTATGTGTAGTTGATTCATTTAGTAAGTATTCATTAAGTCTTACCAGAAGCAAAATGTTGGAACAAGGGTAAGTCTAGAGTAGGAAACCTGAGAAGGCAAGACGTGCCACTGGGGGTATTCTATAGCTCCTCACCAGAGTCCTGTGTTAAGTCCTTAAGAACGAATGCAAGGAAGCTTCTTATAATTTTGTTATATCACTTTTGTTTTCCATAGTAAGAACAGAATACACTGCATATCGCTGTCAAAAGTCCTCCTTAGCCAAAATAGCAACTTCTACTCCTTGCGTAGACCTAGATTTTCTGGATTTCTCCTCATAGATGGGCTCTATCTGAGACCTTGCATTAGGTTTTGTGGAATGCTGCAACAAATTACTACCAGCTTTGTGGCTTTAAACAATCATCTCTGCTATATATTATTCACACTGAGCCCTGAGGAATGAAAAGTAAAGGAAAAGTTGAAGAGAAAATAGGTCAGAGTGCAGAGGCATAGTCAGTCATGGGTTTGTTTTGGTAACCCTGGGAAACCTTTGGCAAAAGAGGAACAATGCCAGTGATCCATTGAAAAACCAGCTTTGGTTGAGCAGAAGAGCCAAAATATTAATAGCAGTGTTAACCGAGTACCATTTGTTTCAGATACAGATAGCATTATGGCCAGGAGATGAGGGGCCATGAATTAGAAGTTGTTTTTTTCTGTACCCGCCAGTGCTCCAGGGTCTGCATGTGCCATTTGGTCTTCTCACCCATGACCAGCTTCTCTAATCATTGAACAGGACAGAATAAGATCAAAGTGCATATAGAGGGGCTTCTGTGAGGGCTCATGAGCTCATTTTCTCAGTCATCGATGATGTGTGTGGTCTGAACTCAAACTCAGAAGGAGGGGAGAGTCACATAGAAGAGAGATTTAAAAAGAGAAAGGAATAAAAGCACCATCCTGATGAAGAGAGGCAGTGTGTTAAGCAATTTCAAACACGCCTGTAAAATCTGGATTTACCGTAAGATGCCAGCCTGATTCTGTCAGTTTTCTCTCACTGACACTTATCTGGGCAGCAGTGAAAAAGCAGATATTTTTATTCAGTTTGGAACCTACATTGGATTTTCCAGATGAGTTTGATAGAAGGGAGAATTAAAGTTGATGGTGTTTTCAAAGGGGATTATATATTCACATACTTAAACTAAAGAAAGAAGTAGGTACCTCATTCTGATGAACAATAATGCATGTTAATGTTGAATAAATTGGAGACCTAGTGAGGTGGAAAAATTGGTTTAGAAACTTCATTAAAGCAGATGATATGGCAGAGTTTGCATTTTTTGGTGAAGACAAAGTCTAGTTTGTGACCTTGTGAGAAAGGATGATTGAGTCGCTGAGGAAGTACAGAAAGAATGTGGGGGGTGGCAATTGTTTGGGGGGGAATACAACCTTTACCAGACTGTTGGTTGTTTGATCACATGGGTGCTGACATTGCTAAGAATGGTGGCAAGAACTGAGAAAAAGACTTAAGAACTGTGTCCACAAGATTATCACATTGGTATGTGGTGGTGGTAAGTAGCAGTAGGCAGGAAGAGGCCAGCATCCAGAGCTGTAATAAATAGGCTAGAATGAGAAGCTTGCAACCCTTTTGCAGAGGGTTGTAAGGAAAATGATATGTTCAGAGTGGCCATCTTTGATTTGACAAAAAGGTGAAGGTAGCTCTTTTAAGAATAGAATTTTATGGGACTGGAGAGATGGCTCAGCAGTTAAGAATACTTGCTATTCTTGCAGAGTACCTGGGTTTGATTACCAGTACTCACATGGCAGCTGAGAACTGTCTGTAACTCTAGTTCCAGGGGACCTGACACCCTCTTCCAGCCTCTGCAGGGCATTGCATGCATGTGGCACACTTACATACATGTAGGAAAAACAATCACATAAAATAAAAATACTAAATAAAATACGTAAACAAAAAAAAAGTAGAACTTTATTAATGCCAGTTTTTTTGTTTGTTTTTTCCAAACAGACTTCGGCCACATTGGGTTTTAAGACAAGATACTGTGGAAGAAATCACAAATTCTCTGCAAGCTATTCAAATGGTGATGGATACTCTTGGCATTCCTTTTTAGCAAATGGAATCATTTTCATCGTGGACTCTATAAAAGATTACAGCCAATCATGAATGCATGAAGTGTTTTTTTTTTACTTTCAGTGTGAAATTTTTAAAATACGACATTGCATTAAAAATGAAGTAAAAATGTATATATTAGTATTAAATTCTCTATTGTGTCATGTGTTGAACAGAGAGGAAGACAGTGCTGGGGATCACACACACACACACACACACACACACAGAGTTTACAGCAGGCCTGAAATTTGAATAAAGGTTTCTGTGTATTATTTGGGTATTATTAGTGTGCTCATGGCTTCAGTTGTCAACCTGATACACCTGGGTAGAAAGAACTTCAATTGGGGAATTTTCTCCATTGAACTGGCTTGTGGCCATGTCTGTGAGGCATTTTCTTGGTTGTTGAATGATGTGGGAGGGCCCAGCCCACTGTGGGTGGTCCAAACCCTGGTCAGTTGGTTCTGTATTGTATAGGAAAACAGGATGAGCACGGGCCAGGGGAGCAGGCCAGTTAGCAGCATTCCTCCATGGTCTGTGCTTCAGCTCTTGCCTCCAGATTCCTGCCCTGAGTTCCTGCCTTGGCTTCCCTTGATGATGAACTGAGCCTGTAAGCCAAATAAACCCTTTCCTCTCCAAGTTGATTTTGGTCAGTCGGTGTTTTTATCACAGTAACAGAAAGTAAGACAATTAGCTCAAAATAGATGTAAAATTACAAAAATAAGGCATAAAACCAACAAGAACAGTAGACAGTATACAAAATAACAGGATATTGCATTTTATTTTTTATTTATTTTTTTGAGACAGTTTCCCTGTAGCTCTGCTGACCTGGAACTCACTATGTGTCCCGATCCGCGAGACAGTCAGCGTGGGTTTCTGGAGGGAGGAAAAGGGGGACGGAAAGGGACAAGAGATGCGAAGAATGGAGACAAGACAGGCTTTCTGATCAAGTCTCCTTTAATGAACATCCACACAAAGTTTTTATAGGGAGGAGAGG